CAAAATCAAATCTGCCTCCGGCACCAGAGAATACTGGCGATACTCTATTTGGGAGGGGAGAGCGGCGGCGGCTTGATGTAGAGATAGCCTTCGCTCAAGGCTCTTTGAATAGCGCACGCGACTAGCGTCCGCGCCTGGCCTCGAACGGAATTGTCGCGCCACATGGCCCTCGATTACACTGGCGCCCATACACCTGTGACGGACGCGAAAGGACATGCTATTAAAAAGATAGTGTCGGTCACGAAATTTGCATTGCAGCAGCGCAAAGTGTCGGCCAGGAAATCTGCGTTGCAGGCAGCGCAAGTGATCGTGGCGTACGCAACAATCGGCTGAAGTCAGACGTCACGCTACCGTGTACGCATGGCCTAGTTTTTGGAGAGCGCCACATTGTGGACCTCTTGACCCCTATATTAATCTCTGCGAACTAAGCACAAGTATTCCATAATGCTCACTGACCAATAAATCCAAGACTGCGTCCAAGGACGAAGAGTCCATTCAAAGCTCCAATTTCGATTGTTTCTTGAGCTTCAGCAGGAGTGAACATTCCTGATTGACGAAGGATATCCACGAAAATCACACCGATCGCACCGTCCACATTCAGAATTAGATTGGGTTTCTAAATCATGGGTATTCAATAGAACTACTGACTGGTGCGAAACCAATCTTTATAAATATCAAAAAAGATTTTTGAACTGAAAGAGTGGAACAAAGAAACTTACCTTTGCCGTAGTGATTTTCTCCACCTCAAGCGCATATTCGAGCAACGGCGTCTCTTGTTTGAATTGGTGACGGTCCAGTGCAAAGTTTTTCAGAATTTCCACTCGCTTGTCAGGATTATTTATCTGAATTTAAGGATTCTGAACCGATATATCTGAAAATAAACATAAGGCTGGGCCATAGCAAAACACACCGATTTCACACGATGACCAATACCCATAATGTGCTTTCCTTGCTTGCGCATCTCGTTCACAAACTGCATCGGGCTCCATCCCTTATCTACTGCTTCAGAGAATTGACGTGCTGCACCGTCCAGAGCACCACCAAAACGGTCTCCCTGCAAGGAAATGCACTGAGATTAAAGCAACATGTAGCTCTGACTAGGAAAGTAGACAGGAGGGTTTGAGGGAAGAAGGCGCGACTAATAAGCAGCTGGCTGTATGCTTGTCGAGCCTAAACACAATATTAGACGCTGTATGCCGCGATGCTGGGAAGACGGTCAAGACAATCGTAATGCCGCTACGTCGCATACGGGGCTGAACACGGCGTTTCCTTCATTTCCAGTAGCCTGCTTATAGGTACATTGTTTATTGTCGCCATCTATGGCCTAGGAACATTGCCATTTCCAAACGCGACGTCGCACGCGACTCCCAGGTGCACGGCGAGTTGCGATTTTCTTTTCCCATACCCCTCGAATCCACGTAAGGGTTGACTAGGTACTGGAGTCCCTTATGCAAAAAAACGCGACGTCGCACGCGACTCCCAGGTGCACGGCGAGTTGCGATTATCTTGTCCCATACCCCTCGAATCCACGTAAGGGTAGACTAGGAACTGGAGTCCTTATGCAAAAAAAAACGAATAAACTCACAATAGTCAACAATCCTGATACAAGTGAAGAAATCAAATCTTTTCCAGCTCTGGCACAAACGATCGTATTGTGGGCACCAGATACTGCAGGTCCATGGTCGGCAGTCAGCATCAAGGCAGACTTCAATAAACTTGTTCGCATAGGCAGGTAGTCGTTTCTGAAAATTAAACCTTAACAAAACGGAATGCTGGAGGAGAACGGAGGGGCTATCTCAAGAAAATTCAAATATTTAGCAATTTTTCTCTTTCTTTAGTATTGTAAAACAGGTCGAAATTTCAAAAATAAAAACTCACTTGGAACCATAACAAGCCAAGCACACCGCCAACTCCTATGTCCTGTTCTAGCACTTTGGTGATTGGAACTCCGGCATAGTTGAGCTCTTCACCTCGTTCATCGCAAATTGACGTCATGAACGATGCCGGTTTACGGATTAAACCAAGTTCCTGATAATAGGCACATTTTAAATAATATGCTAAACTAAAGCTCAGAAGAAAGGCGGCACTCAGCCTAGACAGGCATTGAATTTCGAGCATAGAAATAATTCGCCAACAAAAATGGAGATGGTCAGTTTAGTGTTTTTGAACCATCAAATCCGAAGAATTCGAGGGTCAACTTTTTACCAGATATTGGGATTTTACAGAAGCCGTAAAGCGCATGAAGTCACTTAAACGCAGTTCGATACAGTTTTATAGGCACCGGATGCTTTGGCGATCCAGGACAGCGGGGTCTGGCGCGGCGCCTCCCCTTCTTCACCGATTGTGAAAGCTGGCAGGCGACTTCAACTGGTGAGAACTGGCTGGCGCCGCGCCAAACCCAGCCCTCTGGCACGCCTAAACGTCCGCAGCGAACAAGACTGGAAGCTGGTTAGAAAACACCATGTAGGAATCCGGATGGAGAAACAAACTCACTCTAGCCCAGGCGTAGTCCATGGGTACAGCTGGTGGAGGAACTTCCGGCCGAAGTACCACAATACCCTTGTCAACCAGTTCGTTGAAAGTCTCTTTGACGAGTTTTCCTGGAAGCGAAAGGATGACAAGACCATCAATTGTAATCCCATGTTAAGCAGGACTGACCAAGATCATCAAAGGAGTGAGGCACGCGTGCACCAGCTTCTTTGAGTGCCGCATTTTTAGCCGCTGCCGTCTCACCCAGGGCGTTTGCAGATGCTCCTGCGTGTCCAAATTGTACCTGTAAGCTCGCTGTTTTCCTGAGAATTCTCACCAAATACAATGCCAACAAACCTCAGAAGGCTATATGGTCAGCACATGTTCCTATGCACCATGCAACCAATGGCTTTGTGATTCTTCCATCTTTCAGCGCTTCAACGAATTTTATATTCCTCGACACCACCAACTTCTCCTAACAGCACCATCATTTTCACCCTGAAACCAGCGCAAGGATATGAGGTAACTTATTGTCCCAAACTTAAATCACGCATTAAAATACTTAAATAACACCCAATTGAGCAATATCAGCAGTTCCGGAGCCCTTATTAAACAATCAAGACTGACCTGTCGTCATTCTGATAGCGCATGATATGGTCGGTGTAGGTGGATCCTGGATAGCGATCACCTCCAATGGCGATACCTTCGAACACACCATCAGTATTTGCACCAATAATGTTGTTCAACTCGTTCGACATTCCTCCACTACGAGAAACGTAGGCGACACTGGAACATCAAACTTTTAGGGACACCTTCCAACCGGGCAATTTTCCGGACTCCCAAAATGAGGAGTTATGCGGGTCAATTTCTAACGACAAGGTAGTGGGTGATCTAGTAATGGAGGAAACACTAAAAACCCGCCCGAAATGCTCCATACAGAGCCCCGTGATGGATCGCACGTGCATAAGGCGAAGGAAGACACACCCATCACACCTACCTTCCTGGGCGATACAATCTTGACGCAAGGATATTATCCATCATTCCTCCCGTGTTACCAATCTTGAAACATCCCGGCTTGATTCCACCGACGGTAGCCGGGCCAATTAGAGTAACTCCTTTCTCTGATGCCATCTGTAACAGAAGAGGAAACGATGTGCTTTGGTCTCTATAAAAGCTCTACAACCTACCTTGATCAATTTACGCGTTTGATTTTCTGGCACACCCTCAGCAATAATAGCAATCACGCGAATCTTGTGGGAACTGCAGAGCTTCCAGCACAGTTTCGTAGACTGATCGGAGTGAAGCAAATGTTACAAGGATGGTTGCATCGGGATGGGTTGCGAATGCCTTTGCCATCGATTTATAAGCCGGAATCAGGATTTCCTAAATTGATAGAATATAAAGGCACTATAATTCAGTAACTGGACAACAGGTTGTGGTTCAATACATCCCACTTGTGGCTAGGGCAGTTTTGCGTCCGCTTTACGTGACTAAAACTTTTCGTGGTGGTCCTGACGCAAAATGTCGCAGTGCAAAGAAATAAGGATTGCGGCTGCTTCAAAAAGCATACCGTTAGCCAGGGCGTGAGCTTTCCAAGGGAAGGACTCCGGGGTGGTCGCTCCTCTTATCAAGCGTAAAAGTTTGAATGTGTAAGGTCACTGTGGCCAAAGAATACCGTAAGGATGTTAGAGCGCAGAGAAAACAGAAAGTCAGCGCGCTGCAGCAGCTGCTGCAGGACCCAACTGATTCAAAGTGGCAATGCTGCGATGCGTCAGCTAGCTAGGAAATATACCCCCAGTCCTGTACTCGTCCCGCGATATCTCAAACAACATGCAGATATAATCCTCCGCGGTTCAAATTGGACGACATTCTTACCCGATGGCCGAAGTAGTACTTCTGTTTGTTGTCGCCCGTGAAAGGATAAGTTGATGCAACGACTGATGGCTCCAAACGACGGCAAACGTAGTCAAAGTCGAGCATACCCTGGAAAATGCATCATATTGTTCCAGAATTGAGCAGGGTCTCGAGCTCAGCCCCCACCTCCACTGGTAAATCCACAAAACGGGAACAACGGGTACTTGTAATCATATAATCAGTAAAAAACTAGGTGACAAATAATTACCTGAATAGCTTTCTGTTGCTGACCCCAGATAATAGCCTTTGAATTGTTTTCGAAGAGACTCTCGTACAGTTGGTGATTCTGAAAATGAAATAATGCAGCTGAAGACGTGAAAAGAACTAGAGTATGCCAAAATATCGAATCAGGGAAACCTATAAAAATTCTTATGCCATAGAAGAAAACCCCTTCAAAATACTATGTCATACAGCACCTACCTCATTAGAGTTGCTCATGACAGCGGTAGATGTGGAGTCACCAGCAGCTGGGTCCGAATTGAGATCATTAGACGGGTGTCGGGACGTGGCACGAACTCCTCCAGCCGTCTGTAACAGAATGGTACTTATTATGTTATCTGGGTCGCTACTCCAGAGAAACATCAATAAACTTCCGTACGTTTCTTTCTGGACTGAGAAGGAACTGCCCAGTAGTCTGTGGTACGTGTGGTACTTCTGGGAGATCACGAATACCAAGTGCTGCTCCAACAATAGCTGTCATATGGGTTTCCGGACCAAACACATGCACCGGTAACTCCAGCTTTTGTGCTGAAAATCAGGCAAAATTCCAGCGAATTTATGACATTTCCCAGATTTAGCACCGACCTGCATCTTTGATTCTCCGAAGACCTTCTTGATAATTGGGACCACCACGGCGTACAAAAATTGTCACTTTATGTTCACGTATACGCTCAACAAACACTTCGAACGCTCGCACAATTCCCTGAAATGATGAGTATTAGGATATCGCTCAAATCCGCGAAAAAAAGTAGATAAGTATTGATTGATTCTCGCCAATATGATAGAAACACCGTTAAATTGAGAAATCAACCAGACATTATTTGATACATCACTTGTAGCTGATATCATTATGGATTTTCGAGCACTGTAATCCAACAAATCCCCGTTTTCTAATACCACAAGGTACGAAAGAATATTACGTTCGGTCGAGGTTGAGCGGAAGGGACGGTGGCGGGGGGGGGCCTGGGGGGCAGGGCACAGCATTCGATGGGGATTTTGGTCGAGCTTTTACGACCCCCCCCCATGGCTCCTACGATGGCTGACTATGGTTGTGGTTTATACTCGGCGAAAAAGTTGTCGAGGGGGGGGGGGGGCGGGGCGCGGGGGCGGGGCGCCGTATGCTAGTTAAGCAGTGCGACGTACATTCACGGCGTAATATAGCTATAACACGCAGTAATTCATAAAAATCCACCAAGTGAACCACATAATTCCTAGCCAGAAATACGACCCCCCCCCTCCCCACAACGACCAAATTACGACCCCCCCCTCCGAAACGTACCGCAAGGAGAGAAAAATCAACTATAAAAATAAATTTTTCCCAGTCCAAATACGACCCCCCCCTTTTGACGGCCAAATACGACCCCCCATAGGGAATCCCCAACCAATGCTGTGCCCTGGGGGGGGGCATATTGATTTGCTTGCGTTAATTTTGCTCAGTTCACGCTAACTCTACACACTTCCGTGAGACCTGGTCTAACACTGTTGTTGAAATTATGCCGAATGGCGCCCCACTAAACACTTCGGTTGCGTTACAAAGTCTCTAATAACGTAGCTTTAGCACGCTTCGCAGACTATCATTTAATGCCCCCCCCCCAATTTCCGAATTGTAGGGACTACACATTTTACATTGCCCTTAAAAGCTGTTATGTGAGTAAAAGAGGGAAGGTTTGAGCAAATAGCAATGTGCGCAAAAATCGGCCAAATCACTTACTCCGAAAGTCTTGGCGACGTTTGTGAAGTTGGCAATCGAACCTCCAATGATTAGCACTTTGCCTTTTGGATGTGGTGGGCTTCGTCCATCCACGACAGCTGAGAGCTTTTTGCATATATCGAACGTTATGAGTCTCTGAATGGATCACCAGAATATCACCGTTAATTTCGCACAGTTCAAGCGGCACCACAAGTCGCATACCGAGTCGACTGCCAATAGTGGACTCTTTTAAGAAAAATTTACGGGAAACACAGAGAACCAAAACAAAACGTGTGACCAGGAAGGGGATACTCACGTGAACACCACCCCGATGCTCCACCACGCGGCAACCATTGTCCATATTCGTCCTTTTCTATTCAATATAGTTAGTTTTAGAGAAGCACCAGTTTTCGCATCTAGATCGGCTATATATTGCTCCTAAATCGAATTATCATAGCGCCAGTTATTGTGCTGGCCATCTCAATGTGTACCTTACGACAGCGCTTTGTACTGGCCAATCAGAAACGATATCGCGACAGCCGCGTTCATTCTTTGCATCTAAGGCATCAAAAGACTGGCGATGCCTGCGGAGAACTAGCGCTACGAGGAAAGTAACTGCCCGTTTAGCAACTACGAGACTGAAGCCGATCTGCATTTGGCGAGACTTGGCGTTTGCCGGCGATTGCCCGCCAAGGCCCTGAATGGGAATCCATCGGAACCAGTCGGCGATCCGGTGACTTCAGAGACTGAGCGATCCGGCGACTCGAGGAAGATGGCGATCTGGCGTTCTGGGAGGATCCCGACTCACAAATCCCCGCCAACTGCCTTACGAGACCGGGCAGCGTCCGATACCATCCCGAGTTCCTCAACGGGCAATCGCGCGGACACGCCTAATTTACCCGAATCGCATAATCGGCTCAATACTCACGAACCATCCGACCGATATCTCCACAATCTTTCCTTTGTCGCCAAAAATAACTCAAATAGCTGAAGCTCGCCACAATTCCCTGAAATGATGAGTATAGATATCGCTCAATCCGCGAAACAAAATAAGGAGGTCAATTGGAGTGACCTCGCCCAATATGAAGACCGTTAATGCATTGTAGAAGTCAACCGGTAAGCATTATGTTGATAGCTGCATAGCTGGATATATTATGGATCTTCGAGCAAGCTGTAATCCAACAAATCCCGTTTTCATAATACCAACATAGGTACGAAAGAAATATTACCGTTCTGGTCGGTCGAGTGGGGGAGGGGAGGTGGGGTGGGTGCATATTGCATTTGCAGGTTAATTTTTCCAGTTCACGCTAACTTACACACTTCCGTGAGACCTGTCAACACTGGTGAAACTGCCGAATGCGCAATCTAAACCACGTTTGTTGCAGGATTACAAGCCTCTACTAAGGTTTAACCTTTTACCCAGCTTCGCAGACTACCATTTAATGACCCCACCAATCCGAATTGTAGGGACTACACATTTTACATTGCCCTTAAAAGCTGTTATGTGAGTAAAAGAGGGAAGGTTTGAGCAAATAGCAATGTGCGCAAAAATCGACCAAATCACTTTAGCCGAACGTCTTGGCGACTGTTTGTGAAGTTGGGCTCAATCGATCCCTCCGATGATTAGCACTTTGCCTTTTGGATGTGGTGGGCCTTCCGTCATCACCGACAGGAGAGTTTTTGCATATTCAAACGTTTGAGTTTCTGATGGATCACCAGAATATTCACCGTAATTCGCCAGTTCAGAGGCACCACCAAGATCGCATACCGTATCACTGCAAAAGGACCTCTTAAGAAACTACCCCGAAAACGAGAGACCCACACCCCAGCAAATCGTGTGATGGAAGGGGATACTCACGTGAACACCACCGATGCTCCACCACCGGCAACCATTGTCCATATTCGTCCTTTTCTATTCAATATAGTTAGTTTCAGAGAAGCACCAGTTTTCGCATCTAGATCGGCTATATATTGCTCCTAAAAATCGAATTATCATAGCTGAGTATGTGCGAACATCTAAGTAGTGTCACTACGATAGGCGCTTTGCGCTTGGACGAAGAAAAGTATTCCGCTGAAAGCCGCAGAGTTTCATTCTGTTGTCTAAAGAATTCAAAAGACCTCGTGCGATGAAGAGACTGCGCAACTATGAAGAAAGTACCGATTTAGCAACTGCGGAGATTGAGCGATCCTGCCATTTGGGAGATGCGGCGTTCCCTGCGAGTTGGATGGGTATCCATCGGAACTCCATTGGCGATGGCGGAAATTCGGCGATCCGGTGACTTCAAAGTCTGAGCGATAAGGCGATTTAGGTTGATGGCGAGCTGGCGTTCTGGGAGATCGCCGACTCGCGCGCCAAATCCCCTGCAACGCGCTAGAGACCGGCGTCGATCAACATACCCATCCACTTCCCTGCACGCGCAATCGCCGAAACGGCCTGATTACCAGCGCGTCGCAGAGTTCGATCGCCTCAATCTTTCACAACGCATCGAGCTCGGATACCAATAATTTCTCTTTGCAACATATCTCGCATGATAGCTGAATCCTTCAAATCGCCGAATCTCCTCAGTCGCTAAGTATGAACGTGGCCTCGAGTTGAAGTTGAAAAACCGACCTCTTTTGTAAGGTCTCTACCAAATGGAGCAGGGAATTCCACATTTGAACCGGATCGTGTCTTCCATTTGTCAGAACACAAAAAGTTCAGCTGTTTCAGTCTAGCCTTAGGCAGCAAATCGAGTCATCATACCCTTGCCCACCCCTTTCGACAATCTGACAACAAGTTAGAGCTGAAAAAGAGAGATGGGAATACCAATGAGCATAAACTCTGAAAACCTACCGAGAGGGTTAATTTCAAGGTAAGTGAAATGTAATTGTTTATAGGCAGAGTAAAGTGATGAGATAAACGTTTTGAGAATCCTGAAAAGAGACTTTCCAAAGAGCAATAACAGGACCGTTGAACCTGGTAATCCGACTAAAACGCTTGTTTTGTCATCAAGATTTCCTATGAGTTGGCTGAGTTGAGCTTCTGTTGGCATCATCTCATTATCATCCAACGACACTTCAATTTTCACTGATCGTGCCTGATATGAACTGTATAATTTTTTGGAATTAATGGAGAATTCACGTAGGATCTTAAAGTGTTGGAGCGCTCGAGAAATGGTGTCGATCAAAGACATGGTTCGCGGTAGTGAGATAGTGCCTAGTGGCGTTCGATAGAAAGTCATGTAATCGACTGAGTAACCAGGTGCACGCAAAAAAACCTCCGAGACGACCCCTGGTAGTAAGGACCCCACTATGAGTGAGTCTAAAGGAATTATTCCGAGCAGCCTCGAGGAGATACTAATCTCAAAAGAGAAACATACCCGTCATGCCGAGTGGCCAATGTGCATAATAACGCATTCGCTAGCTAATATGGACATGAAAATGGGCGGAGATTGACTTTCAGTGGCGGCCCAACTTGGTGGCAGGCCTCTGACGGCCTTACCTCTTATTTTCGAGCAGTCAAAATGGTGTATCTATTGGGCCACCTTACGCAAGGAAGGGGAGTACTTTGCTCTCGGACTTAGAGCCAGCATAGGGGGGGGGCAAGAATGACCATTACTTCTGATCGACGTCTCCTATGTCCACACCGCCATGTTCATAGAACATAATGACATCATTATTTCGCTGACTAAATATGGCAACGTAGAGCTCGTCTGCCTTCTGTGTGGTGCAAACTAAATGTTCGCACGATATGTGTGAAGACGGCCAGTGTCTTCCCAACCTGCATAAAACATTCGGGTTGGGTTTGAATGACAAAAAATGTAAAGGTTACGGTGAGCTGTAACGCATTTTATCAGAAATTCTCATTAGATAAAATGATCGTTTACCTGAACTGAAGTATCTGACTTCTGCTGGTACCACTTTTTGATCTCGTCAGCGTCCCCATCACTTCACCAGACCATCTTGCACCTCCCGTTTATTCACTGATCTGGTTTTATCACGGCTTTCTGAAGAAAAAACATCTATGAGGACATGGATATGTGACAAAACAATCGTAAAATGCCGCACTGATGGGTGTGACGAGCGATGCGCGTCCGACAGACGAGCTGTCTTACCTGCCATTTCATTCTACGCTAAGGGACGGTAAATTTTGGTACCGCCGTCATAGAGTATCTCCGCCTCATTTTATGTGAATTGGCGCCTTTTATCGACAAACTCTTGCACATCTGCATTCCGCCGCGCAGCGCGTCGCGCGCGATGGCGTGACAAACTACGATTGTCTTGTCCATCTTTCCACTGGACCCTACTAGTACTACTGCTCGCTATAGAACATCTCGAAAGGTTCCTCACCTGTGGTCCACCCAGCCATGTCACATCCTTAACAACTGAATCGAAATCATCGCCAGCCGTCAGACGAACGGCTGTGGGTGCGTCGATCAGACCACTGCATTCGAGATATCGATACAGTAGTTCTTTGCCCGAAAGCTCGCTGACCGCCTTTGCAGACATGCCTAATATATTTTCTTCATAAGAATGCTGAGAAATGAAGGGTGAGAATATTGTGAAGGTCACGTAATACTCGTACAATAATGCAATATATTACACACGAAATAAATATGAAGATGGAAGAATGATGGTTCAAAGCAATCAGGCGATTTTGGGGAACGCATGTCAGGAGACTCGTGTGGCGGCCGTTCTGCGTTGCAATAGCGCACACGCGTCATTCACACCAGGGTATTATAGACACGCTCCGCGCCCGAAAATGGCGTTTTGTGAAATACTATCATACACTGATGACTACATAGTACAAGTAAAAGCTGCCCAATATGCCTCATAAAAAACCCCATGCGCTTTGTGTGGCGAAGAAAATGCGTGGTCGGACGAGTTCTCACATATTGGTGCCAGCTCTTTCTCCTTGTCACCACAATCCTCCTTATGATTCGAAATGGAGGGAGTAAGTTGCAGGACAACCGCACCCTCAGGTAGCCGTTAATAATGAAAGTTGGGCGTTGCTGTGGCCTGTGGGCGGAGCCCTGGTCCGGTCGCAAGCCAAAGAAAGCGTCTGAACATCAAATGAACGTGGTGCGTGCCTTTAAGTCCAAATGGATCCTTGATGAATGAAGGGAAATACTGAGAAATGAGTAGCTGGAGGCAGAAGGAGTGTTTATAAAACTGATGGCAGCAGAAGTTCACCCAGTACAACCTGAAAAGAAATCCAAAGAATTTAAGGAACTCTGCGGGCTTTCCTTGATACTTTTGCTTTATAGAATGAACTTTTGGAGCCCTCTTATTTTATAAAATTTAGGCAGCGATTCCTGAGGAGATCTGAGGAGCGCTAAACTGAGAAAAGGTGTGCATTAAATGTGATAAATCGCCTCAAAGACACTCAAGGCTTGCCCATGAATGGCTATAATGAAGCCAATCCTATCGCGAACATTCCACGATCCACGAACATTCACGAAGAGATCAAAGAGAGGAACCTCACCTCTGTAGGAAAACTTCAAGCGACCAGTGAAAAACTGTAGCATGAGATGAAATAAAAGAAGGGTCATAAAGCAAAAATTAGCCTAGCCAACGTGGCGCGTGGAATCTAATCAAACCCGTCCAGCTCATTGATAGAAAAGTACGAATCGATGAAATCACGCAAAACGAGCCGTCGATAAAAGTTTGACGAGGGCAACAATTGAACGAGGCCGTTGACCTTAGCGATTATGTGGGATTGCCCAGAAAACACACCAGAATGGAATAATTTTGTCTGTTGAATCAGAAAAGAAAATATTTTCTGAAAAAGGAGCGAAGACCCTTGGTTTAAGCG